TTGACTTGCATGGGCTCCATTGAAATACATTACAGTACAAGTAGAGTTGCAATAAAAATGCGGAATGGATTTTCCATTAGGGTCTCCGGGCCTACAGAGACCAGAACAGTTCCCCTAGAAAAAATGGCTGCCTTAGAGAGTAGACTAAATGGAATTACACCTTGCTGAGGTCCTTCCCCTCCCAACCCCCACCCTCTCCAAGCTCTACCCCAAAAATCTCCAGTAATTTTCCAGTCTGGAGATGGCAATCCTACCTTAAGTAAAGGTAACGGTAATGGAATGGATTTTCCATTAGGGTCTCCGGGCCTACAGTGACCAGAACAGTTCCCCTAGAGAAAATGGCTGCCTTAGAGAGTAGACTGAATGGAATTATACCTTTCTGAGGTCCTTCCTCTCCCAACCCCCACCCTCCAACTCACTCCATCTTGCGGCACCCGGGTCTTGAACCGCTGAACTACCGACCTTCCACAGCCTGCAATTCAGGAATGCTGAGAGGCCCACAAGCCTGGTGGAAGATCCTGTCCTGCTATCTTTCCTGGATCCTTGGATAGGTAACTATGCAGCTGCTTTGATTTTCCAGGGAACCAAGCTGTAACTAGAGAGGCAGGAGGGTGGTAGGCTGGCAATTTGTATTTTAGTATATAGAGTGACGAAGATGCATCGAGCTTGATCTGATGGTTGGAACTTTTCTTTTCAAAAGCATTTGCAATGCATGGTGGTTTATGGTTCATTTGTCCACTACCCAGTGGTGTCCTGTATTGGGAACTGGTTTAGAACTGTACTGTAGACCCATGTTTGTTTATGCTTACGCACCATGTGTTTGTCTGTCCCATATCTGTATCTTTCTGGGATTTCTCTGTCCATGCCTGTTACCATTTACCTGTGTATCGTGCGTGTCGCTTTTGTAGTGTATGTTACTTCAAAATAATTATATTAAGACGTATCTCCACAAGGGAAGGAGCTAGAGACTTTTATTTAAAATGAAAGTTGGGAATTAAGAAAACCCTGTGCACCCGTTTCTATACTGATATATTGCTATACTCAATATATTGCTATATTCAATGGCCCATCAAAAAGTTCAAAACCCTTCAGAGGAAGCGGAGTAAACAGTCACTGTGACAGCCAAGCCTCACAAGAATCGAGGAGCCTGCCAACCACCATTTTCTTATTGAAGGGGCAGGTTCCACTAGGGACTGTGGGGACACCGTGAGTCCAGGGTCAGTTCAGACCTTTCCCTTTGAAAATGTAAAGGGCCATGAGTGGAGGCCAGGCCTACATGACAATCCACAGTTAGCAAACCGGCTTCCTCTCTTTCCTTCCCCACTCCTGTGCCTCCCCAGAACACTCTTGAAATTCAGGGAGATATATATTTTGCTACTGTTGGAATCCCCGGAGCGTTTTGTATAATTTCAGGTGTCCCTGAGTTGAGCTGAAACAGCTAATTTGGGGTATAATTTTGAGCCGTGTATCCACCTTTGAAATGTGGTGGTGGAGGACAGTTTTATAAATACCGTGGACCAGGGCTATTTTTGGGCAGGAACGCACAGGAACGGGAGTTCTGGCTGGCTTCAGAGTTGGCCACACCCACTACAGCCAAAACCTCTGCATGCGTGGCTACAGAACTGTACATAGTGGAAAGTTTGGAACAGCCTTTCCAATTGCAAACAAGAGCACTGAAGCAATGGTGGAAGTACCTTGTCTGGGCTCCCCGCAGCTGCAGGGTGCCCGGGCAAGCCAAGGGAAGGCATTTTAAACTGCCTTCCCTTCCCTTCAAGGGCAGCCGCGGGACGCCCGGGCAAGCCAAGGGAAACCATTGGGGTGCGGCCTAATATGCGAATAAGTTTCTGCTGTTGGGTGCGGCCTATTATGCTAATGAGTTCCTGCTGGGCTTTTTCTACCAAAAAAGCCCTGCCATGGACTGCCAAAAAGACAAAATGGGCTCTAGAGCAAATCAAGCCTGAGCTCTCCCTAGAAGCTAAAATAACTAACCCAGGCTATCGTACTTTGATCATATTATGAGAAGATGAAGACATGAGTCACTGGAAAAGACAAGAATGCTAGGAACAGCTGAAGGCAGCAGGAAAAGAGGCAGACCCAACACGTGATGGATCGATGCCATCAAGGAAGCCTCATGGCCTTCAGTTTGCAAGACCCGAGCAAGGCTGTTAACAATGGGATATTTTGGAAGTCATTAATTCATAGGGTTGCCATAAGTCAGAAGTGACCCAATGGGACTGAATGCACATCTCCGAATGCACACCCCTAGTGGGGTAAGCGCCCTCACAAGAAGGAGGTGTTGGAGGGCTTGACCTTGACTTGGAAGTGGCTTCACAGGATCTGACCTCGCAGAGTGACATCACATCCCTCACTGAGTGCCACCCTCCCCAGATCCCTCCCCAAACGTCATCTTCCCCAGGCACCTGCTCCCCTAAATCTTTATGAATGTTCTGAGCCAAAGTTTGCAAGCCTAGTTGTACACTTCAGCTGTACACAGTGGAAAGTTTGGGACAGCCTTTCCAGTTGCAAATGAGAGCACTGAAGCAATGGTGGAAGCACAAGGTTGGGTCCCTGTGTCCAGCTGCAACACGAAACTGTGCAAAGCAACATGTGTGTGTGTGTGTGTGTGTGTGTGTGTGTGAGAGAGAGAGAGAGAGAGAGAGAGAGAGAGAGAGAGCATTCCAACCACTGGGTGAATCTCCTTCACCAGTCCTTTCAGGACTGGTTCCTTTATTGGTGGTAGAAAATGCCATCAAGTTGCATCCAACTTATGGTGATCCTGTAGGGTTTTCAAGGCAAGAGATATTCAGAGGTGGTTTTGCCGTTGCCTGCCTTTGTGTCACAACCCTGGTGTTCCTTGGAGGTCTGCCATCCAAATACTAACCAGGGCCGACACTACTTAGCTTCCGAGATCTGACAACATCAGGCTGGCCTGGGCTATTCAGGTCAGTAAGTTCCTTTATTACCCAGTGGTTAACCAGCAAGAAGACCCAGACTCAAGTGTTTAAATGAAACAAATTATACTGTTTTATCAAAGCACAATGAAGATGAAGAGATTAAATGAAATGTCTACCCATTCCGAATATGCAGCGCAGAATAAATGAATGGAACAATGAAGGGATTACGGAATAAACTGAAATAAGGACAAACTAGCATATGGTTCCATGAATGAAATGACTAGCTACTGCAGAATACAATGCATAAGATGAGCAGAAGCATTATAGATAAAGCATTAATGCATTGAGACTCTATTAATGAAGGTTTTGAAGGCTAAAATTGACAATTTTGCCAAATGATCACCCAAGACATTTTAAAACATGGTGGGAAGAGGAAATTTTGGGGGCTCTTCAAGCAAAACAATGCAAGTAAGTACAAATGAATAGTAGAAGAGCAAACAACCGTATTGCTGTAGATCTCTAGCTTTCTCCCAGTCCCCTCCAGCCCACCTAGTTAAAGCAAGGCTAAATCCTAAATGCTTTCATATCTAACTGCTTGGTGTAGTTTGGTGTAGTGCCAGTTTGGTGTAGAGCCAGTTTGGTGTAGTGGTTAAGTGTGCGGACTCTAATCTGGGAGAACCGGATTTGATTCCCCACTCTTCCACTTGCACCTTCTGATGTGACCTTGGGTCAGTCACAAGCTCTGGCACAGCTATCCTTGAAAAAGAGCAGTTTGTGTCAGAGCTCTCTCAGCCCCACCCACCTTGCAGGGTGTCTGTTGTGTGGAGGGGAAGGAAAGGCGTTTGAAAGCCGCTCTGAGACTCCGAGTGAAGGGCGGGGTATAAATCCAATCTCTTCTTCTCTTCTTCTCCTATGGGTCCAGTTATGTGGATTATTAATCCAATAGGCTGGACTACTCCCCCTTTAGTAGAAAGGAGTTAACAAGGCAAAAAAAACCCCAACAAATAGATGGAGAAGAAATGAGACAGAGATAATTTTTTTAAAAAGATGAAGAAATTAGGAGGAAAAGATAGGACCAATACCTAAAAAAACAAGGAACTTGTAGGCCACCAGTGCATATATTGTCACTTCCAAAAGCACACAAAAGCTTTCCTTTGGTGATGCATTGCTGAGGAGGATAAATAGTGGAGGGTGACTTGTCTTGGAAGGGAGCTTGTCCACAGTTATTCATCTTCTCCTTGAGGAGCCCCTGCTCAGTTTGTGTGGGCTCCCTATGGCCAAAAAGTGAAACCCAGTTTCCTTCCCTTCCCTGTATTTATGGTCTGACCATCATTCATCCATTTAGTGCTCCGTCTTATCTTTATGGATGGCTACTAAGTTGCAATTCTAAATGTTCAGCAGTTTTTCTTGAATATTCTAAGCATCTTCATTATTTTCAGAAAACGTCCCAGAAGGCACAACATGGTTCCCAAAGATCCAGTTCTACCAACCAGGACATCAAACAGTGGTATGATATCTAGAATTTGTTCTTGGATTTTGTTTCCTCATTTGTGCATGAAATTCATATGATGTTTTGCCTCCCAATTTGCTATCTAGATGTGTGTCTTGGCATTTTATTTTGGTTGGGACTCTGTAGCTTTCGCCCGGACGTTCTCAGCATCTTCCTCAACGTCATGCAGAAAGTTCTGCAGGATGTAGAATGTGGTTACGAAAGATAGTCCTCCACTAGCCAGAGAACCCAACACCGGCACAAAATCAAGAACAAATTCAGCTGCCATCAGTGTTCCAGACACGAATGACTTAGTCAACAGATCAAGTACAAATTCCTTGTTGACTTGGCTGGCCATTGGGGACTTTTTGACAGCTGATTGCAAAACATTAACAGGTATGTCAACCTGGTTCGCAAGTCTATGGAGGGAATCATTGTCCAAGCCAAAGACCCTGCAGAAATGTCTCATTGTTGTTGCCAGGATGCCAATATCACAGACAAGAGAGAGTCCAGGGACAGGAATTGCCCCAATGCCACAAGACACAAGGGCTGCTTTCCTGATAAGGGCCTCCATAGCTGTCTTTTTCTTCTTCAGGACTTCTTTGGAAAAAGCTGGCATAGTCAGAATTAGAGCATGTCTCTTGATATCATCCAAGTCATTCTCCAAGGTATCTTGCAAGAGGGAGAAATCATACTTATTCAAATCCCATCTGGAGATGAGAAAAACCCTTGGATTAGATTCTCCTGCCTTTGTCAGATTATCACAACAATATTTCCTTATCTTCTCAAGGGTTTTCTCCTCACTGAACTTTGGTTTCCTCCTTTCAGCATCTATACTGACATCCACTTTGCTGCGCACATAGTAGAGCTTCTTCCCCATTTTATGAATTTCATGGGCCAGGAGAACATCGTTCTCAGTGAAACGTTCTGAGGAAAGGATGATGAAACAATCATAGTACTCAATATATACCTTCTTGAGGTATTCCTTTGCTTTAAATGTAGTTGTCCCGATTCCTGGAAGATCCCATATTGTTACATTTGGGAACATGCAATGTGGATATCCCTGTTTCTCCATGGTTGTTTCTGTTACCCCAGTCTCAGCTGCCCCTTCTTCGCCATCTTGTATTCCTCGCAGGGCATTGACAAATGATGATTTACCAGCACCCGTCACCCCTGTGATGGCGATATCGAGAGTAGAGTACTTTAACAAATTTAGTTCTTCTTGACTTTGTTTTGTCACATCTGGGAGATCTTTATATTTCAAATCATCCTTCAGTTTTTCAAGTTCCTGTCTTATGATTGCTTTTGAGATGGCAGCGCCCATGATAGTTCTTCTTGATTTTTTTTTTGCTTGAACAAAGAAAGAAAGAAAAAAAAGAGGCTGTTAATTTAATGGTAGATAATGACCCAGCAATGCCCAGGCCAAACTGCTGGATCTAGAAACACCAAATTTGGGGAGAGTGCTTCTACTGTGGCATAGGTGCTTGCTAAGAAGAGATTTTTAGAAATTTGACCCCTAAGTGGGTCAAAAGGGGGAAAATGTGCTCTCCTATTGATTCCTATGCAGCTGCCAGGCAGCTGCCTCTCTGCACCCCCCACTCTCTGATTGGTCAGCTGCAGAGCTCAGTGTTCTGAGGTAAAAAAACCCCAACAGTTACAGGGGATTGTAAACAGCTAATGGCAGTTGAGGAAATCAGGAGTGGCCAAGAACCACCTGTGAGGTGAAACAAAGCTGCTGGCCCAACATCTCTGATGGCTTCCAACACACTCCCCCCCCCTCCAACACCTAACAGGCGGTTGTCGGTCAGGTGCAGCCCCACCTCCACAATGGCTTCTAATACTCCTCCCCCTCCCCCTCCTACACTGGACAGGCAGCTGCCTGTCAGGTGTAGGAGAGGAGGTGGGATGGCTTCCAACACACTCCCCCTACCTCCTACACCTAACAGGTGGTTGTCTGTCAGGTGCAGCAGTGGTTGCAGGGTGCTTAAAACCACGAGGGAGCCTGCCCCAGCAGTAACGCCTTAGGGATCCTGCCAGCCCTGCCTCCACAGTGGCTTCTAATACTCCTCCCCCCTCCCTATCCTACACTGGACAGGCAGCTGCCTCCCAGGTGTAGGAGAGGAGGTGGGGCCTCTGGGGAGGTTGCTCAGCAGAAATGCCTAGGCACTGCTGCTGGCCCAACCTCCCCGATGCCTTTAAATACAACCCCCCCCAATACTAGACAGGCCGGTGTCTGTCAGGTGTTGGATCAGGACCAGGGTATGAATGTTCATGGGGAGGTAGTAAAGGACCTTTCTAGGAGCCATTCTGATGTGAGCCTCCCTCGTGAACCTGAAGAAATGTCCACCACATCACCACTCCCCCTCACACCTCTCACCTCTTACTGCCCCCAAGAAAGCTCCTGGCAAACATCAAGCCAGATACACCAACACTACAAGGAGGAGGCAACTTAGGAATGTGGCAAAGACATTTGCACATAGCACTCCTGCAGTGCACTGAGCTGCACAGGCCAAGTACCAGCAAGATCACCCTGAGGTGCTCAGAACAACACAATCTCTATATGAGTTGTTGTGTTCTTACATAGACCATTCACATGGCCGGGTCCTCATGGAGCCATGCGAACGGCTTAAGCTTTGTTCTCAAAGACAATAGCCAACACGGATCCTAGAACACACCCAATCGGGTGGTCAGGATCGTAAAGTGACCTATAGAATGTGTGTACACTGTAAATAATCCTATCACAGGTGTGGGTGTGTGTTTGGGTGTGGTTCACTATGGGAATATAAGCAGGCCTCCAGTCCTGCTTTCCTTGTCTTGTTTTCCTTAGCTGAAATAAACTATAAGCTGTTTCACTTATCAACATGTCTGGACCCAGTACTTTACACTGGCAATGAGGATGGGATCCCGATGAGCAAGCCAGACTCTCCATCCCGCCAAGCACTGAGCACCGATCCATTAGAAGCCACCGTGCCCTGCATTGCTAATGAGCAGCACTGCACAGTGCACCACTCCCCAGGACACCGCTCCCCGCTTCTCTCGAGAGTCATGGCTGCCGCATCAGGACACCTCGAGGTCTTCAACCCCACAAAACTGGAGTTCTGGGAATTGTGGGTGGAGCCGCTCACCAACTTCTTCGAGTATCAGGAGGTCACCGACACAGGCAAGAAACAAGCTCTACTCCTCAGCATGTGTGGAGTAGCCACCATTCGCCTATCCCAAGGACTCCATGGTCCAAAGAAGTTGGCCAAGACACCGTATGATGACATCAGCAAGGCCCTCACAGGGTACTTCGTGCCGAAACCGACCAAGGTGGCCAAGCACAGACTTACTAATGCGCACCCAAAAGCCAGGAGAAGCAGCAACTGTCTACATGGCCGAACTTTGCCAACTTGCAATCAACTGCGAGTTCCAGGGCATGGAGGACCTCATCCTTGCGACGTCTGAGAGCACAAGCTCTGCTGCAAACTGATTGGGACAGCTGACCTGAAACTAGAGATGGCACTCCATGTGGCCACCATGTTCGAGAGATCACACCGGGACCATCCACCATCTTCCGTCCACCTAGCAGCCTCGTCCACCACCTTGGACATCTCAGACAATGATGAGGTCCTGCAACTATGGTGTCCAGCCCATCGCAGCTCGTACACCCTTATGGTAAAGGCTCCGCCAGCGAAATCAACCACCCAAGCACCCATCCAATCATCCACCCAAGCAAAATGTGCTGGCTGTGGGGAAGACCACGAGCGTCGGTCCTGCCAGTTCCATGGCGCAATTTGCCGGTCCTGTGGGAAATCCGGCCATCTAGCATGAGTCTGTCAGTCCAGAGGAGCGCAATGATGGATGTCGGCACATCAACAAGAAGCAATGGAGCTCCACACGCTGACCACCAACCAGGAGCATCAGGTACTGAATTTGCCCCGGGACGCCCCCAACAAAATAAGGGTCATGGTCCACATAGAGGGGTCCCCATGCAAGATGGAGCTGGACACAGGTTCCTCCTTCTCAATCATTTCGGCAGAGACGCTTAAACGGCTCTGCACCCACAGGGAACCCCTCCTCCAGAAACCGGGTGGCTTAACGTTACAGGACTTTCAGAAGAACCCAGTAGCCATAAAGGGGTGGGGCAAATTCATAGTCCAGTACAAGGATTTCGACAGTGTGCTAGAACTTTTGGTTGTGGAAGGCAGGCTCACCAGTCTCCTGGGACTACCATGGTTCGGGCCCCTAGGGTTCGGGGTTACTGGGGTTCACTAGGTACGACCACTGGACTTTAACAATGTGTGCGATGAATTCCTGGCCATATTTGTCAGTATGCTTCGCCGCTACACAAGCCCTTTGGTCTCCCTTGACCTCGACCCCGCGGTATGGCCCATTCACATGAAATCTCACCGGGCCCCATTCGCACTACGGCCAAAAATAGATGAGAAACTAGACCGGCTGGTGGAACAAGGAGTGTTGGAGCCCATGTTGCATGCCAGGTGGGAGACCCCCATCGTCACACCAATTAGCCCAACAGGGATATGTGCGGTACATTTAATAAAGTGTACAATTAATAAAGCCCTGCAGGATCATGCCTATCCGGTCCCCATCGTCAGCCATGTCCTTGCATCCTTGGCGGGCACAAAAATCTTTGGGAAACTAGATCTGGCACAGGCCTATCAGCAGTTGCCAGTGGACAAGGCTACCACAGAAGCTCAGACCATTGTAACTCATAGAGAGGCATTCCAGGTCAGGCGGCTACAGTTTGGGGTGAGCGTGTCTCTGGGGATATTTCAGAATTTAATGGACTGTTTGCTTAAAGGTATCCCTGGAGTCCAGCCATTTTTTTGACAATGTTCTAATAGCGGCCCCCGACGCTGAGATCTTTGCGGCACATCTCCAGGAGGTCCTGAAGCGCTTCAACGATGCTGGCCTTAAGGTCAAGAGGGAGAAATGCCTGCTTAGGGTGCCACGGGTGGAATTCCTGGGGTTCACGGTGGATGCACACGGCATCCATCCCACAGAGGACAAAATTTGGGCCATCGTTAAGCGCCCACCCCCTCCTCCAAGGCCGAACTGCAGGTGTTCCTCAGCCTTTTGAACTTTTATCATTCGTTCCTGCCACACAAGGCCCGGTGGTGGAACCCCTGCATCACCTCCTGGATAAACACGCTCCTCCCCTGCCACAGATTTTGTTAGTCTTTAAGGTGCTCCTGGACTCTGGTTCTTTTCTAC